GAGGAAGAACTGGACCTACAGTCACTGAGTCAACTTCTGGAGGACATAAAATCCAGGCAAGAGAAAGAACAAGCGGAAACCATTGAAAGGAGAGGAGAAGCACGTGTTCAAGTGCAGATCTCGAAAGCTAAAGAGAGACTGCTGAACAGACGGAAATCAATGACCGCAGGATCGCAGGATCACCTCCAGTGAAGAGAAGATAGACCCGACACCTCGCAAGAGGATGAAAAGAAAAGGGCCCACAGGAGATAAATCGGATATAATGTTTCTGTCCGAAACCAACTCCGAAGGAACATCGACTGAAACTTAGGGGTTTTGTCACGATTAGGGAAGACCGTCCTAATGCAGTGAGAAGCGGAAGAGTTGCTATCCTGATAAGGTGAAGCATAGCATACACGCGGATACCAGAGCGACCTAGCAGCATTGAACATGCTGGCATAAGGCTCGCTGATGGTACCTGCATGTATGCTGTGTACAATCCATCATCGAATGGGTATACTTCGCGCGATTTGGACAGTCTGCTTGATGTAGGCAATAAAGTCCTCCTTGTAGGAGACATGAACGCCAGGAGACGCGAGTAGAACTGTTTCAATCATCCAAACGCTAACGGAAAGACCATATGGGAGTTTCCGCTCAATAACAATATTGTTATCGAGCACTCTCATGAGGCAACTCATTATCCTTGGAACAGCACATTACCAACCACAATCGATCTTGTTATAAACAAAAACGTGAGATATCTCTCTGACCTGACGGTGGTGGACGAGATCACTCTCCGGTGATCTTTAGTCTCAACAGAGAACAACCTCAGATTGTGAAAAGAAAATATGACTACAAGCCCACGCACTGGACTAAGTTCAAGTTCGAGTTCAACAAGCTCACCACACTTCAGAGCCAAATTACCATCGAGAATCTGAACGAGATAAATGAAACGTTTATTAAAAATATTCAGATTGCGAGGAATAAGTCCACACAATTGATTGTGGTTAAAAGTCACAGGGATCTTCTTCAACAGAACATTATGGAACTTATTCGCGAGAAACACCGCGTCAAAAAAATATGGCAAAATAATAGAGACCCTCGATGCAAAGAGCTCATGCTCAGACTTGGGGAGAGGGCCCCAATCAACGAGAAAATGAGTTCACCAATGCTCACTTGAGGAAGAAACTGGAGAGACTTAACGTTCAGGACAACTCTCTGTGGAGGATGGCGCGACGTCTCGACAACAGTACGAACCTATGCCTACCATAGAGAGAGGTAATGAGAGTTGGGTAACCGACGTTCAGAAGGCCACAGTGTTCAGCGAATATTTCCATAATGTTCACCGAACAACACCAGACAGCACCGAAGAGCATAAAAACATCACCGAGACTTCGAGGAGGGTGCGTTCAATGCCTCTACCACGCCTGAACGGTGAAGATCTTGCTAAAATCCTCACCGACTTTGAGGAGGTGAGAGACACTATAAAACGCATGCCACTACACAAGGCACCTGGCAGCCATGGCATTGGAGCAATTCTACTCCGGAACCTGCCGCGCAAAATTGTTGTACAAATGGTACATATCATCAACGGAATAATCAGATTGCAACATTAGCCAGACTGCTTGAAGCGAGTGGAGTTCCACGAGGCTGTAAGTTTTCAACGTGCGATCCCTCAATGTGTACAAGGTATCTCAAAATACATCATTGAAAAACAAACATAACGTCGAAGTGTACAGGGTGCGTCAAAATATATTTAAGAAAAAACATGTCGGTTCAACAGAAGTCTAGCATTCCAACATGATCCAATGAAATTTCTTTATATGAAAGATCCTATCTTTTTTTGATGATAAATCACCTCCTTGAATGTTTTACACCTATTTAGTTACTCCCTGTATAGGCCGAGACCGCATATGCCGGACATGCTGGCAACAAGTGTATTGGGGTCTTGGATGCCTCCCTACATTTTGTGTAAGGACTTCTATACCCATCACGCGAATGTTCATGAATTTCCTTCCAGAATCACCCATACGAATCAGCAGCCGGCATATTATCCACAACACGCGGAGGCTCTTAGAATGAGCTAGAAGATTTCTCGCGGAACCTGAGGATTTCCGCTATAATTCCCGTTCGGTTCACTAGTGACTATCCTAATATGACAGTGCTGTTTAGAGATAGGTACGTCGTACTGTGGCAGCTTTTCACCGCACTACGTGCCGAAAAGGCCTGTTTGCAACCCTGTTATCTACCACACATTGCTCATGAGACACGTGTTGTTTCGCCAACATTATCTTAGCACCCATCCCGTGTACCCCCGCCGTTCAATCTTCCGAACCGCAAGACCGGTATTTCATCCTTTCAATTCGGAAAGTGATTGAACGGTGCTTTCCATGTTTTTATTATCTATATCGGTAGCATGCAAGTCTCCTCTTCAGCCGTGCCATCGTATGGTGGAACTGTCACTCACACCACTTCATTGACAGGCTGGGAAGGAGCTATACATCCCTGCCTGTCGTCGAAGATAAGATACATAATCCTGAGTGGTTGGCCCTGTAGATCCACGGTCGGCACCAGAGAGAGAATAGATTTCTCCGTCCCGAGTGCGCCAGGGCTGCGGGTCTGGTTTTGCAGTTGCTCGAATAAGTGGTGGGTGATGCAACTCATCAAAGGCATCAGGTGTCAGTAGCCGTTGCTGCTCATCCATTATTATTATCATCATTTTTTTAATAATTATAATGAATATTTATCTCAAGATCGAGCCATGTTTTTGTAGCCCGATATTTTCGGAAGGACCCGCCAGCATCATCAATCAATAAAAACTCCTCGTACCGTGGGGTAAGAGATCATTGGACTTAAAATCATATGCCCTAAGCAATGTCGTATCCAAAGTGTTGAATTATGCGAATCTTTCCTAGAATTGCGCGAATATGTGTTTGAAGTGTCACTTCCGTCTCTTCAATTATACCAAAGACTCCAATAATCAGAACAACCATCGCAACAGGGTAGGCTGAATGAAGTCTATGATATTTCATTCGTTTTATTCTTTTTCTCGGATTATATTCATCTCACTGTACGACAAATATCGTCTTCTCTGATCGTCGATGAAAACTATATTAGGCTCATTGTCTGAGCCTGTGGATAAGAAATAAATAGTTTCAATGAACTCGACACTTTCCAGTTTCACAATGGATTCAATATCCTCCGTAACATAAGTCAACACTGGTGTCTCGTCGATACTATGTACGTACCGTAGGTGATAAGCGTCATGTAGATAGAAAAAGATGAAACCGCATATGTTGAAAATGCTCAGAGCACACGAACGTGCATGTGCTATTGAATATTGATCGGGATCCTTTTCTCCAGAGGCATGAGATTTGAGATCATACATATAAAACAAATGGGTGACATAGTTGGTCCCTCGAGTATTACTGAGCACAACGAATAATGGCTGCAGTGAAATGCAAAAAAAGGAGAACACAGAAAAAATCGCCTTGAATTACACCCCTTCTGAAAGTGACCCGCTCAGTGCGGACTCTAGCCTGGCCGGATGTAAAGGTGGATCGAATCCTGCAAAGTGTAATCAATTCTTCGAAACATCCCACGATTCTTTCGATTACCGCAAAGCATGGGCACATGCAAGATAATCTCATTTGAAGTTTTATCAAATGTCTCGCGGTAATCGATTCAAGCTCCAGAGAGATGGTGCCTATACTGCATTGAGTCCTGCGTTACACATCCATCGATGAGCAGTCAGCGACTCCTTTTTTTGACCCTCTCTGTTCTTATATCCGTTCGAATAATCGGACAACTTTAAAAAATATTCCTGGGTACGGTATGGACGTGAACATATTATAATATGAATGCAAACATGTTATCGGTCTATGATTCTTAGGAACCGAATCTCCGCACTTAGGAATGAGAACGGTCTGCCTCCTGACGAACCAATAGAAAATTTCGAAACTCTCCACCTCGGAGTTGAAAACTGTGACCGGATGACGGTAAGTGGCTGGTAGTACTTCCACCAATAAATATTCAGCCTGTCTGGGCCAGCAGCATCATAGTTCTTTGAATCCTTGAAGTCTCTTAGAACATCATTTGGGGTAATCTGGCTACGCAGTTCATTGAGTTCAGGCTGACAGAGCTGTCTCCAGAAAACTTCGAACTCCGATAGGCCTGTGGCCTCTTGATTGAGTAGCTGCGGATTATCATGAATATTGCTCGAGAAGGATTCCGGAGGATTTTGGTATAGTTGAGAAAGATTTTCGGGAGTCTTTCACAATTTTCCTCCCTCCTTCACCTCACAAAACAATGCTGCTTGGTGGTTATTGAATCGCCTTGACTCAGAGTGTGATGGACACGTCCCACTTTTGCGACTATTCATCACAGGGCCGGCGTAAAAAGCCTATCAGCCACCCTGTGATCCATTAAACACAATATAAACGGTGCGTGTTGTCTCAGATTCCATTTTGTGTACTCGTCTTTTGAACAAAAGAGTCGGATTCCATTCTATTGATTCGGAAAGCAGTTGAACGACGCTGTACACGGCGGTGTCAATTTGTCAGATGTCGGCGACTTTTGTAAAAACATCATCCAAAACTGGATGAAACTGCCAGGTACAATTCATTTATTATATGAAGATAAAAGGCGAAGTTCAATTTACATGATGACAAGTCATCATTCAATAGCTCTTCCACTTAACCTTAAAAATGTCGTCTAGTACGCAGAAGAATAAACAATCGCCAATTCAGACCCGACGGTCATTTATTACATTGTGAGTATCTTATGTGACAGAAATGAAATATTATTATTGAAACAAGATGTTATCATCAGAAATAATTGAAAGTCTACTTAAATAATCACAGGGCAACTCACGGGAATATATTCGCTGATGTTTTTCTATAAATCAATATTTTTTCCCGAATAACACTTTTGAAGAATGTCATCAAGCATTCATTCATTGTCATGATGATGAAAAAAGTTATTTATTTCGACTATATAAATTAAAAATTTTTTTGGCTTACCCTTTTCAAACATTTTCCAGATCCTTTCATTCTATGATAAATATATCCAGCGATCATACCAATAAAATACGGTGCCGCTCTCGTATGCGATTTGGAATAAATTGATCCAAAATCTTCTTGCTGTTTGGGCATTCTGAGAAAGTCTGGATAAAAAAATATCAGTGCAGATCTTTTGAGTAAAAACACCATCAAAAATGGTATGAGAAAAGCCAAAAATGTTGCAAATCCTAGAAGAGGCAATCCGATAGTCTTGCTCTTGTGAATGAAGATGCAAAGAAGTACTGCCACGATGAAGTAATGGAAATCACAAGGTAAGTACCATGAATGAACCATACACTGAAACATTCAATATTCATTAATGAAATAACGATTATACAATATTTTAAAATTTGCTTCATTTGCAACAATATCTTTGAGTAACACGTGTTCAGCTCTGGCGTAAGGATATTTAAATATGATTTCATTTGAGTAACTTTTTTTGGAACAAGATGGAAAATCAAGAAACATAAGTTGTTTTTTTTACAATCCTTAGGATGATTGAATATATTTCCAATAAATGGAGGTCACAAATATACAATGTATTTGTACACCTCATTGGAGAATATAGAACATAAACAATAGAAAGATACAAAGGTTGATCGCAGTGTTCAGCAATACAGAAAAAAAATTGAATGAATGTACTTGTAATCAACACAATTGAATGAAAAATGAAAATTGATGAAAAATAAAGAACGAGAAATCAGAAGCACCTGGTGAAAATTAATTTAATTGCTCCTGTCATGCTTTTTCAGCATGACAGAAGGACTTTCTTTCAGTTTGTGTCTGAAAGTTACTTCTTTGCATGATCTACACATCCAAGTATAGAGTTACTTATTTTCAAATTCAACTTCCTTCCTTTCTTTGGAAGATTCTCTCATCCCTTTTTTTGTATCAGATGGAGTAGTAGAAATCCAAAAACTTTCTTTCCCAAAAAGATATGGCATATTTTGAAACATTGAAGAAATAAGCCACTGAAATCAGTATTCTGAGTTGTGCGTGGGTGTTTCCCCTACGTTTTCATTTAATTCAAAACTTCTGTTTGTGAAGAAGACGGCAACGAGGGTATCGAGTTTTTTATTGAAGTATGGAGATGGAACAATCTTAGAATGAATTTTCACAAAATTTTGCGATAATATATTGTATCATCTATTTGCTTGTGGCAACTTGATAGAAATTTCAAAAATATATTGGGAAGAGAAATGCACTGAAAGAAACTCAAAAATAATAATGAGACAGGTTATCTGAAATCACTTCAGGAACGTGTTAGTTCAAACTGATCAGGAAATTAAACATCAATAGAAAAAATCGAGTTAAAGGAATTGGCACCAAGTGAAACTTAAACAAATTCATCAATGATGAGGTATTTCAAAATGAAGAGAACATCATTATTATGCATTACAATGATGAGAAATTCAGATAAAAAGATAAAGATAGAGAGAGGTCAGAGCGCAGAAATGAAGTAAGATAGCATAATAGATTATTCAAATTCATTTGGTGAAATTCTGGAGGAAACTATACGTACATTTTTAAGGAAAAACTATGCGTCCTGGTAAGAAAACAGGAGACATGAAGAACTATAGACGTTTATTCTCTTTATTACGAAAACAGCTTCAACTGAAGTTTGAAAAATAACTGTAAATAGACGTAATTTTTGCATTGCATAAAATATAAGATATTTTGAACATCTGGGGTTGACTTGATCTTTTTAAAATCATTCAAATGTTCAACTCTACTATAAACTTTTTTCGAAAGGAAAATATAAAAAGTATGCTGCAGTTGGGCTCTGGAAAATAGAGAGATTACGCAATGATATCAGTGATAACCGGTAGTCACCTACCCTTATAAGCACACAAACTAGATCACTCAACTCAGGTAATAGGAGTAAAGTCACAACCACCACCAATAGAATCAAACCAGAAACACAGATACGGGAAGAGGTACTATATGCTGAGTATTCTTCAGACGACCGATAGACGTCATAAACGTCAATGACAATTTCGGCATTCCATATAGGTTTTTCTATATTTTCTTGGATGTTTTTCAGGTTTTGTGTGAAATGCCCACCAACCTAAGTCACTTGTTTGTCCCGCCGTCACGTGACACTGTTGAAAAAAGCCAAAGAGGCTTGCTGCCTTTGAAGTGTAACCATTTCTACGTATATGAAGGTCAACATTGATCCAAACTGTAGGTACATCCGTAGTCATATTCATGATGACCTCTCATAACAAAATAACACTGTACGAATCGGAGGCATAGGTTACCTCATTTGAAATCATTACGAACTCTTAACTCCCACTGGATAATAATGTCATTTTGTGTTAGCTTCGTTTTCGAGTTTACAACTCAATGTCGGATACTTATCAATCTGAAGCTTAGGAGACTGCTTCAACCTACCAGACTTCAGCATCAATGTTAGGCTATGCTCTTCAGAAAATCAATGGTATTATCAAATTGTACATCTGCGATGATAATATGCCGTATGTGAATCTGTGATATTTTGTAATGCACGCAGTAAGAGTTAAATTTCAAGGTTGAACGTTCCTTGTGCCGGAGAGCATGTGAAATGTTCAATCAGCGGCCTTTTCATATACCTCAGGCATATGCTCTGCATTTTCATTCACTTCGTAATCGAGGATAGTAGTAAATCCAATAATGGTTGAATCATCTAGAGTGAATCTTCTCACATTATATATTATCAAATTCACCTTCCAGCAGTGTAAATAAGAAACTTTCTTCTGTTGTATTTCACTTCAAAAAGCTCGATTTATCATTGGACTCTCCCCTTGAACAATTTTGAAGACTCTAAATTCACTCAAGAGGTTCAAAAAATATTCCATTCTGAGCTAAGAACATAGCACGTCTGGCTACGATTTTTTGTGAAACTTCAGATTTGAATGACATTGTGATGAAACGAATAAACTTGTGTAATTCTATTCTTCATTTCTCCCGGTGTTGTTTTCCTTATCTAAACATACCTGCACTAGTTTCCACTACAACTTTAACTTGATTATTTTTTCGTAAAAAGTCTCTAGCTCACAACATCGACACAGGGGGAGGTACAGCTTATTGTGAATTATTGTGTGGTGAATAGTTCATTGTGATTTTCACCAAAAAAGTTTCAAAACCATGTTCTGCTATATAATAGGTTCCTGTAAATCAATTGCAGTCAAAATCACAATAAACTATTCGTTAGTTTTGATTTTATTATGGGATTTTATCGAGAATCTCATGGTTGTATTCTCCTTCTCAATTAAAGTTTTTCATTAACCTTCATCGGGAACTCTAGCCTTCCACGAAGAGGAATGAAAATGAATTTCAAGAAAATCAGGTAAATAACAGGGAAAAAAATGAAATGCGTCTATAACGCATATTGGTCTTGTAATAAAGGTAATATTGGTGAAACATCAAAGCCATTAAAAGTGTACGACACTGAATATCAAGATTACATCAGTAATAGACGAACAACAGTATTCAAATTTTCAGAACACTTTTCGAATCCCTACGGTGACCATCCAGTGAAATGGTGAAATGGTATGAAAAGAGAATGAACGCCATGAACTATATGCTGATAGGCGCAATATCAATATCTCATATCCACGATCCCTTTGGTGATGAATTATGCAAGTAATTCACTCTAAATGATAACGAAAATAATTCATAAGAGAGAAAGAGAGGGAAAATATAGTGATTATGAATGAAACAATCTCATCAACAGTAAAATGAACTATACTCCCATAGACATCTAGATGCCTGCCTGTTTTCTTCGAGCCGTCTAACTAATCTTAATGAACTTGAATCTGTGGAATGGTTTTGTTGCAAATTATCATGGGCACCTGCTGATTTTTCTGGTCTTCCAACCTCATATTTCATTTTGAGAGATCTTTCAGTCTATCCATAATATTTTGCATCGCAGTCTTTACAATTTCAGAAATTCCAGACTTTTCCGAATCCTCGACTCTGTCCTTTGGATTTCCTGTGTAGTGTATGACTTGCTTCGAATACCTCCTTCATACTTGAGTGGTGGTATGGAACTGATATATATTTATCTTGGTTTTCGTCGTTTCTGAAAGTCGAGATTTCGTTCATCCACAACACCTCTCGACAAACCGTTATTGACTGTTATTTCCTGTATTGTCCGTTTTTCATTTGTGAACCTCTCATGTGTGAGAGGAAATGTTACAAGACGATTCACTAGAAAATTCAGCCCAGCACGTTTGTGCTGTCCACAGTGATGTGAACTGTGGAATATACCAAACACATTGGCTTTTCATCACCAAAACTTCAAGAAGTAGAAGTTGACTCTTATTTTCTTACTCATACGTGAATTTCATTGATGGAAGTCTGTTATTTGTAAAAGAAACAAAATCCCCAATATTCAATTTTTTGTTATTACAAAAATATCATCCACATACCTCAGCCACATCCTAGGAAAATACTTTGACTTCTCTTTGGTTCCCATTTCGAATTTGCTCATGAATCGATTTGCCAGGGAGGGGAACAAGGAGTTACCCATAGCCTTCCCCTCCTGTTGTTCATAAAAGCAACCTTCTACATGAAAATGGTTTCATTTCATAAAAAAATTAGTGAGAAAAACAAATTAATCAATTTCGTTATTATTGAAACTAATTTTCTCTAGAAATTCCCTGAGGAAAGAACCCGAAATCTCACCTTCTTCCAGAACGATGTTTTTTGTATGTTATATGAATTCTAAGAAGTTTTTGATACTGAACCTGGTTTCGAAATAGGCAAGCTTTCAAATTCCTAAGTGAGCCATTTTGCTATTTGGTAAGTAGAATATCCAATAGCTGACACGATGGGAAGCATTGATTTTCCCGGTTGTGGATTTTTGGGAGGCACTATAGTTTTGACACCGTTGGGTTGGAAACTTGTAAGTTCCGCTTCAGTTGGGGGGTAAGTATGTTGTAGCGTTTCTTGAGGACGTCTTTCACTTCGGAAATCATCTTTAGTAACGGGTTCCAGGACATTTCTACATACAGTCCGTTAGTGATGGAAGTATTGACCTTTCGTAGTAGTCCGATTCATCTAGAATTACTGCTTTGTCGAACTTTCAACACCAGCAATGGACTTTTTCGAAAAACGGGATGCCAAATTTCAAACCGTTGTTCAAAAGGTTCATCTAGTCCTCATCAAACGATTGTGATGAATGATTTTCGACAATGTTTATGACTTTCGGAGTGGCTTTTTTGGTTTATTCCTAAATATACGGGTTTAGAGTTTCTTGTTCAGAGTACACATTTCCCTGATATCTTTTGTTTTCATCATTCCTTTATGAAAGT